GGTGGGGGAAGAAGAAAAATTTTCCCGTCGTACCATACCGAAATTGCACATTTTTGACCAAATTTTTTAAAAAACTTGGAAATTTCCAAAGGGCACCTTTGATGTTAATTTAGTATTTTTAGCGACATTAGCTTGTACAAAAAGGGCACTTTTCATCACAAAAAAGGGCACTTTTAGTCCTTTGAAAAACGTGCACGTGCCCCCCCCCGGTTCCTACGCCCCCTGATTGCGTATAACGGTATAAACCTGATATTTAGCGTAAACGTCTAGTTTATAAGCTGAGTGATTATCAATGTATGCACGTGAAAGTATGATTACCTTTTACAGACACCCTATCTAAATAGAACAGTAAGTGGTGAATATAATTGGGTGTTAATATCGTATTTTATAACTTGTATATTTTTGCATGAAATTTAGACTAGTCCCGATATGTTTCCTATAAATTGTCTCCATAAACTTTCTAGTCCCGATATGTTTCCTATAAATTGTCTTCATAAACTTTCAAGGTTTGTCGGGCAATACTACGGCTACGCCCTTTATGTCGGGCAAAATAGCTCCATACCCACCGAAAGTTTATACCCAAGTTTCGGCCCTGGTTCCGCCGCCCTGAATGTTACAATGAGCAATATACTTCATTCAACTTGCAAAGATAAAGACGCGGTAAAACCTGGCCAATTAATGGCCAATCACCATTACACTCATTTTAAAACAACTCATTGTGAGTAAATTAGCCAACCGATTTATTTTGCTTACGTGATAATACTGGATTAGGCCTGGATCAGGACTGGATCAAAATGAATTCAGTCCTTGGACTCGATATCAAAATTAAGTAGTAAGTGATTTATTTGATCATTTCAAGCAGTAGTGATTTGATCCATAGATATAGTTTGATCACTTTAAGTAGTAGCGATTTATTTGATCGTATATCTCCATCCTATTAAATTTAAATCCGACAATTCGGACTTCACCGGATGTCCATGCTTGCAATTAGTTCAGTCCTCGGCAATTAATCATTGCACGCAAGGTCTGGATATCGATAAAGTCCTCATAGTCAGATTTGATATATTATAACCAGTCCACCCTAAATCACAGAGTGATGCACGTGACTGGGCAACGGTTTTGCCCGCACGCTTGAAAATTGTTACAGAACATTGTATTTTATTCACATATTTTTCCAGAACAGATTAGATTTAGAATTTCATTAGTTGCAATCAATAAAAGTGCATATCTTTATTCGTTCTCGGCTCGGAGTCTTTTTTATTTCCAGAATTCGTCACAACGGTTCATCAGTGGAAACCAGGACCTCCCAGAGGGGGGAGGCGTAATTGCCCCTAATCAAGTGTGAAATTTTCGGGAATATTCTGAAATGTTTTGGGTAAAGTCTTACAAATTTACGAGTTTCGGTTTGAAAACAAATTTAAAATTTGTCCCGGGCCCCCGAATTTCTCTGGGTGGTCCTAGTGGGATGGCTTTAGGAAAATGGATCCAACAAGGAACCGGTGAACTATAGGTTGAGAACCGCGAACTGGTAGAGTGTTAACACTGTGCCCTGTCCAGAATTTTCGAATTTTTCACCTCTGCAGGGGTTTATAATTAAAATTAAAATTTCTGCCTTTCCATGAACACTCTTCACGAACTAAGTTGTAATAACTCTTATAATAAGATTTGCATAGATTTGCAATTTTAATAGTTTCACTCTGCACCGATACAATGTTAGACTTTACGAAGCCTTACCCAACCAAAATAAGGGAAGGCGGTGTTTGCCGAGGGTTTTTTTCCAAGGAATGCATGGATTAATTATGCGCGTGCTGGACTACGTACAGTGTAGCTATACACTGCTGACGAAGTGCACACAAGAAATAGAGGTAATTATAGTAATATTGGGGTTCCAATGAACAATTTTTAGTTAATAATTTATCATTTTATTCTTAGTTCATTATTATTTTTTAGTTAATAATTTATCATTTAATGTACATCAAGTGTTTTTACACAAAAAATTACATTCATTTGTAACATGTGAGATCCATATATGTATGCATGCATGCAGTTGGTGGTAAATATACAAGAAAATTAAATTTAAATTAACACTTACATGCAGTAATTATAAATATTCATTTTCATCATTTTTTGATATACACATGAATGAATCTTGATAGTCTGTGTCACAGACCTTACTTCTTCGTCTTCTTGTCTTAATTACTTCAGACACAGGCTGGAGACTAGAGTATTGCTTGTTTTAGAATACACCCTTTCGATAATTTATGTACGACTCAAATCCCTCCTTGGCCCACAAGCATCGTTCTCATGAATCGTGAGCGGTTGGCCTTTGGTCATGATCCTAGTCATAATTTAAGAGAGCAAGGCTCCAAGGCCAAGGAAGTATTTGTGATCTAATTTAGGGTGCATTCAACGGACGGTATAAATCCTCCTTTAATCCCTCGAGGGATTATTTATATCTGCCAATATAATCAGTAAACTACGAGAGAAGGAATAAATAATGCCCATCCTTGAAAGGGGACTTTAATAGAGGACTTGCAGTGTTAATCATATGTTAAGATTATATCATTCATTAATCATTCAGCTGACATAGCATAGCTACACCACGTATAATCCAATGATCTGGTGGTTGGTCAGACGGTAACTGTATGGTAAGAACATAATTGGTTGAGTGACCTGTCGTTGAAAGGACACCACGGCGAGCACTTGTCTTGTATACTTAAAAACGGAAAAGAATGAAATCAGCTGAAGTCATTATGTTCTACATACACTTATTTCCGAACATTTAGTATCATATCGCATATGTATATATATATATATATATATATATATATATATATATATATATATATATATATATATATATATATATATATATATATATATATATATATATATATATATATATATATATATATAATAATAATAATAATAATACCAGTTCTCAAAGTTTCTGAACGATGAGTGGAAATAGAATGTTATGACCACTGGTTGGCAATATATATTATGGGTGCATAGGTTTTACTACATAATAATTATGCACTTCTCGGCAACAAATATTGGTTGAACTTCAGTTAATGATCCAAGCCCGCACCAAGTGAAAAGCAGCTGGAAAATAAACTGAACACACGCCAAATTATTGTCGGAGAATGGGATCAGGGTGAAGTGAACCATTATATATACTCTCAAACACTGGTCAACCCAAAGACTCATTATAGCCTTATGTTTTCATCCTGTGGGCGTATATATATGCAGGAGAGACTGAATGCTCTAGGGTGATAATCCCCGAGTAGGGCCATGCCATGCAGATGGGTGATACTGATCCCCTCCAACATTAACCTGAACCAAAGGGTGATAATCCCTTTTGGCCAGTTCCTAGATTCGACTGATTATATTTACAATAAACAAGCTGAGTCTATGGACCTGAAGTTGACCATTGCATGGAAACACTCAACCCCGAACCAAAATTTATTTTAACCAAATCTGTTCAGGTATTTACATCACGACAATTTCAATTTATAATACTATAGGTTCATTTAATTTGTTTGTCCTTCTTCGATAGTCCTCGCGTACTGTTGTTGTTAATACATAATGTATAGTTCACCAGACTAGTCACTCACAACGTGTAATATGAACGGGAATGAACGGGTGGGTGGAATTTTCTTTTCGCCAGGTTTATATCTTTTCCCCCTTGGGAATTTGTAAGAGTGAAGGCCCTTTTGTCTCGAGTCTCTTGACCTTTTCCTTGCATGTTCGCTGTTGACATATGATCATGTCTGTTACACACGTAAAAATCTCACAACTTGTGAACAAGAAGTGTTCGCAACAGGCTTGTAGCAAGCTTGTCAACAAGTTGTAACAATGCTGTTATTTTATCAAGTTGCTACAAGGTTGTCAATCACACTTCTTGACAAATTGTTGAATTGCAGGAAAATAACAAGTTGTTGCAACAACTTGTAACAAGTTTGTTGAGCTCAACAACCTTGTAGCGAGTTGTCGACAAGCCGTTGACACTGGGAACAAGCAGTGCGAACACATCCTGTTGACAAATTGTTGGAACAGCATTACTACAAGTCTGCTGCAGCTTTGTTACAAATTGTGCGTTTTTCCCCGAGATTTTCGGAGATTTTTCATTTTGGAAAAATATTCTTAAAAAATTATCGTGTTACCATGACAACTACTGTAAATACTTCATGTTCGGAAAATACAATGGTTTTGTCAGCAAGGCGAGGGGTTTCTGCATGCATATATTTTCTAGTACGTGTGTACTGCTTCGTTCTTTTTGCACGTGCGTAAAATACTCAAACTTTGACCGATTAATTATTGCCCAATTGTGTGGTTTCCGACATGCAAGCATCAAGTTAGTTTAAATCTAAATCCGATTTGCGTGTTGTGTCATTAACTATAATTTATGTACTAGTTAAAACATGAGCAGCCAATCTTTATCTGATATACAAACTGAGCCGAAATAACATACTTAAACTAGGGATCCAAGGATAGTGTGAAGTTTCAAATTTAAAAAGACACTGCAAGAACTATATAGGGTCGCCGACAACCTAGAAAAGCTTGATGGCTTACACTACGAAATAAACAGTTACCAAAGGCATTTCATCTCATTATTTATTGCTTTATTGCACACGAGTAGCGTGACGTTTGAAGCAAGCCTAACACATCAGAAACGTGCCTTGTGAAACTGAGCATGCAATTCATCTATTTATTGTGTCACCAACAACCAAATTTTGCATATTCTAAATTTTCATTTGCATTTGCAGCTGTCGCTAAAAGCATCCCCACGAGGCTACTGCTATGCTAAATTTATCTAATAAACTATAACTGAAATAGCTGTATAAGATATGTTATGAATAATGAGCACTACGTCGTTACATCATTAAGACGCATTTTATCCTCATCCGTTCCGTATTTTATCCACATATCCGTTCCGTGGATCCGCTCCATCCGCTTCCGCATTTTAACTTAATGTGACATGTTTCACAATAACAAGTTTCATTGACCTTTGACTTTTCCCAGTGTGACGTGTGTCTATTTTCAGCTATTCGCATGTGTTGAATATAAATATCACATTAGATTTCAATAGTTTCACAGTTATAGCAGTGTTTAAAGCATTTTTGACAAGCTTTGATACAGTTCTGTGTACAGAATACTACAGATTGATTCTCGTAAGATCTGGTAGAGTTATCGTTGCACTGAACACGAGTTTGTATGCTTTATTGATCTGATGCAATTTTTCGTTCTTTGTACTGAGTATTGCCATCTATTCTGTGATGTAGCACCTTATACAGTCAATGACAATGTATAATGAATACACGGTCTAAATAATATCGACGGTAATGCATAACATCAATTTATATATTGTATTACTATTATTGCGTAGAATCTCAAAGATTTTCTCAATATTCATGTCTGAAATGTTTATATACTTGAAAACAACACTGTCTCGCTTCTGCCTGCACGTACTGTATCTCTGTATAATGAGTATGCCGTGAAAATAATATCGGCACTCAATTGAATGCCTAGAATCAAGATTTTCGACTCAATATTTACGTCTGAAATGTTTATACACTTAACTGCACTGTCTAGGCGGTCTAGCTCCTTCCTAGCTCTGTATAATGAATATACCGTCTAAATATTATCGGCACTTATTAAATTGAACGCCCGTAATGCATAAGATCAATTTATATATTGTGTAGATTTTCAAAGATTTACTCAATATTCACGTCTGAAATGTTTATATACTTGAAAACAATACTGTCTCGCTTCTGCCTACGTACTGTACCTCTGTATAATGAGAATACCGTGAAAATAATATCGGCACTAAAATTAATGCCTAGAATCAAGATATTCGACTCAATATTTACGTCTGAAATGTTTACACACTTGACTGCACTGTCTAGGCGGTCTAGCTCCTTCCTAGCTCTGTATAATGAATATACCGTCTATATATTATCGGCACTTAATTGAACGCCCGTAATGCGTAAGATCAATTTATCTATTGCGTAGATTTTCAAAGATTTACTCAATATTCACGTCTGAAATCATTATACATCTGAAAACAACACTGTCACCCCTTCCTAGCAAATCGTCACGCCATCGTGATCTACGGCTTGATAGCGCATGCGCATTTGCGCTACTAAAGAAAAAATCGGGTGTTCCTGGGTAAAGATCCTTTACACAACATGAGAAGCGAATGTTCTAAAATTTACAAAAAATTACAATAACGAAAGCGATTCCTCGAAATTTTTGTGAACTTGGCAAAAGGAAAACAGAATATGTAAATAAGTTAACTGAAATTGCCTAAATAACCTTCAAAGTACTGACTAAGTACAATAAATCACTACGAACATAAATCGTATACACCCCCCGGAAAGTTTACTCTATGACTGACTGACTGACTGACTGTTTGACTGACTGACTGATTCGTGTGAATTCGCCAGCCATCACAATAGTGTGAAGTGAAACTTCACACTAAAAACGACCCATCTTACGAGTTCATTGGCGAAGTAATTGTAAAAATAAACATTGTCTAACCCGAGGAAATCAAAGCTGCATGAAGTTTATGTAAATCAGGATAAGTCATTATCCGATTTACAAACATCGGTCATTGATTAAACATTCATTTCTTTTGTATTTTCCTCGTGAATTATTGAGATTTTAAAATATTGTTATATATAAATTTACTTTATCATGACCGAGTCTTGTTTAGATGCAAATCAAATGAAATGAGAGTAAATATACTAACAGTTCTAAAGATGACTATAACCATTCGCTGCATGCATATAACGTTTCCTGACTATTGTACAAAATGTATACTGTATATGGAAACCTGGAAAACTTATACCTGGACAATCGTAACTGTCATTTCTTTTCGAACTAGATTTAACTCCAGGAACGAGGCATATCTTGGATTTAGTTAAGCAAATATGTCAGAATGAATATAGCAAAAATTGTTATCAAAGTGAGAGTATTCTTTTACTGATATGTAGTTATAACGACTAACGATTATATAGTATCATCTTTGTGACCTTCGACAGCATCGAGACCATGCATCGATGCCTGCTGAACATGGATTGACCATACTAGAAATTTTTATATCCCGTGGAAAATAATAAACCACTTGATACATCGCGGTGTGAAGTTATTAAAATTATTATATTAAGTTATCTCCTGGACAATGGGACGTAAAAGAGTAGCTACTAAATAACTTCTCCTGACGTAATTTATGGAAGGCAATGCGGATCCAATTGTAATTTGTGGCTATGTTGCATTGGTTGTCATCATCACTGCATGATCTCAAAAAACTATGACGCATTTTCATGAATGGAGCGAAATTTTAAAATTTAACAGCTTATTAGAAAAAATTTCATGGAAGCAGCCGTGGAGTAAAAACATACGCAAAGTGACATTTCTTATGCAGCGAAAATAAATTAAATTACAATTGTGAAGGATACAGTAGGAACTGTGTCATAAAGCACTTTTGGCAAAGATTCTCCTATGATCTGAAATAAATAAATTAATTAGTTGTGCACTCTATAGTTAGCCATTGCATGGGGACTATATTCGTTGACCAGGTGTATACAGGGTGTATAAAAAAAGTCTTCAAACAGTATCCAGTTTTTTTATATATATGGCTTCTTTGGGTACTTATAATGTAGAATAATGAAAAAAATTTCTCGAACACAAATTTTGTAAACCAGGCTGATTTTTTAGGGAAAAATGGATAGTTAAAGGGCTTAAACTAGAGCAAATGGTCTGAAATTTTGTACAGTAATTAAAAACCCAACAAGTTTTCCATCCATTAACTCAAAATACGATTAAAGCTTTATTTAAATTTCGTGTGCAAGCCATACCCAAAGAAGCTATATACATAAAAAACTAGATACTGGATTAGATTCAAATTTGTTCAGTTTTTTTTATACACCCTGTAGTGAGGTGTAGTGGGTTGCAACTCCCCCCCCCCCATAGTTGTTCTTGAGCGATTTCAGGTAAATTTCTACGTAATTTAAGCTGATTTTCAGATAAATTATAACATTATTGACAGGCAAACGTGGAAGTTAAAAGGGAAAGCAATTAAATATTATATACTTACCATATTATCATGATCCCATCTTGCACCTTCCATAAATAATCCTCTTATGTACACACCATTTTCCTACAAGGATGCAATAAATTTACTTTTATTATAATAAAACCCAGAAAATACAGAAGTTTACAGAAATAGTGTGTTTACAGAAACAGTAATCTAAAGCATCGTTCCAATGTAGACATACGAAGATCTCCCATGTATATGTACATCACTAGTTATAACCATCACTTACATGTTTAGTATTTTATATAATGTATGTATATATATACTTACATGTTTAGTCATTACTTTGAGATCATCCTTCATTACTTTGAATTCAAATCCCAGGCGATCAATCGATATTTTGTATTTACGTGCATAATTCTGAGTTACACCTACAAAAATATGCTCTGTATATATAGTTTTTACTTCAACGGAAGGTATAATTGTACCTGCATGCTTTGGTGCTCAAGAAAAAACGAAATTAACGCTAGTTAGGCTAGAACACACGTAGGTTTGTCGCTGATTCAGTGCATGTAAATTTTCTGTTCGTTATTGTAAAGTAGTATGCAAACAACGATTTGAAATTGAAGACAACGTACCAGTTAGAAATGATTGTGTGAAATAAAATCCAGAGAGCCAGAATACTCTGGGAGGTCCATTGTCAAACCATGCCTAAAATAATGCGATAATACGAAATCATGTAAGTAATACAACCTTACCATGTATAACCCACGCGAAAATCACGCAATCGTCGAAAGTATACCAACAATAGATATACACGTGCGCCTCGCGTGATAAATTTCACGCATGCGTAAATTGTAGGCCTATCTGTGATTTTAAAATTTGAAAATTGAACGAATATAATAGGCCCAATAACATTAAGTTTCAAAAAAGTTTACTTTTTAAAACAATTTTTTAAAACAATCAAGTTTAGGTTTTAAAACGTCGAATGGCAAGTGATTCTTTAAAAAGCAATAAGGACCATGCAATGATCAGATCTGTCCATAATCTTCGAGTTATTAAATATAAATTCTGGTAGTATACAAGTTGGAGTTTAGTTCGTTTCATCGTCAGGATATAGTTCTAAAATAGATTTGATGTGTTGAAAATGATAACCCAGATATTGATTCAACTAACATGCAGCGTCTCTAAAATTTGGCTACCTTTACCTATAATGCCACCTATATATATATATATATATATATATATATATATATATATATATATATATATATATATATATATATATATATATATATATATATATATATATATATATATATATATATATATATATATATATATATATAACTTGTTTTGTTGTAGTAGATAATAAAGTGCTCAACACTAGTATTATAGTAGAGCAAGATATATTTATATTTTATCTAAATTAATTTTAAGATATAAATATATATATATATATATATATATATATATATATATATATATATATATATATATATATATATATATATATATATATATATATATATATATATAATCTTATCTTCCTACTCATTCCAATGTATAGATACATGAAATGATGTTGGTACGTCATGGTTTTATGATTGTCGGTGATCCACTTGGCGGGAAGACATCAGCTTATAAAGTACTGGCAGCCGCATTATCAGACTCGCTTTTCATACGTAGAATAATCCCTCTGCTAAAATTAAAATCCAAGTTCAACATTAACTGGAAACCTACTAACAGCAACTCGTTCCTTTCATGCAAAGATAAAACACCTACTAAATATCAAAGCTCGGCATGTGGTATACGAATTCACTTGTCCTGGATGTAAAAGTTGATCGGTAAAACAGATCGCTGCTGCTACACTAGAATCAAAGAACGTACACTCACTGGACAATAAATCTAAAATAATTATTTTTGATCTTACTCTGAGTGTATATCCACACCGAGCAGGCTGAAAAGTTAGCCTGACCACGGTGGGAATCGAAGTCCAATGCTCTGCCAACTAAGCTACGACGCCAAGTCTGTTCGAGTGTTTGGTATTTCGGAACTAAGTCTAGTACTTTCGATACCAATGTGTTCTATGATCATGATATTTTTTGTGTGTGTTTGATGAAATGTTTATTTCCGAAATACCAAACACTCGAACAGACTTGGTCTTGTAGCTCAGTTGGCAGAGCATTGGACTAGTATCCCAAAAGTCGCGGGTTCGATTCCCACCGTGGTCAGGCTAACTTTTCAGTCCGCCCGGTGTGGATATACACTCACAGTAACATAAAAAAACATTATATTCACAAGAGTACATAACATCAAAACACACACAAAAAATATCAAAATCTGAAATATTTAATCACATCACATCATGCGAATATTTTCAACACATCAAATCTATTTTAGAACTATATCCCGACGTTGCATGAAACTAACTAAACTCCAACTTGTATACTACCAGAATTTATATTTAATAAATTATAGACCAGATCTGATCATTGATCCTTATCGCTTTTTAAACAATCACTGGCCATTTGGCGTTTTAAACCTGAACTCAATCACGAAACTAAGGCGTCAAAAGACCTCATAATATTTAACTAATTCTTCTTTTATAAATATAATCTCTTCTATATGTTTGTATACATCAAATTACTTTAATTAATCTTCACCTATATATGAATATCGTTGTAATGTAACCTAGCATTATCCCTGATGATGACTAAAACATTGTGTGCTAGAACTACATTAACTTTTTGGAGTTACCGCGTTGTTTTGAATAACTCGATAAATCACGACCAAATTGAATCGATCACGACCAAATTGAATTTCTTTCAAAGAAAAGCTACTTTTCAAAACATTGTTTTAATAAAGATTTTCTAAAGTTTCTAAATTAAGCTAGTGTTTATTAATGATCCAATAACCATCTACACTATTCCAAACAGGCTAAACAAATAATTTTATAAACGAAACTGAATACACAGTAATTTTAAAACCTAAGACGCGTACCCGAAAAAAATCTATTCTTTGAATAAGATCATTAATGTAACTTCCGAGAGGTTTTAGTGAAGGGTATGACTTTGCCGCCCACATAGCTGGGACCTGAAAGAAAATTTTAAATGTTATATACCTTGGTTTTATACTCTAATATACTGGATATTTAATTCAGACGGAGTTATTTGTGCGTTAGTTAATATATGATAAGATGACTCTGCAAAATGTTAAACTAATGTATAGATGCATGAAGATTTTAAGATTAGATTAATTCCAGAAAGGGAAGAGAAATTGTTAAAAACGTTAAAGAAAATTGTTGTAAGTTGGAAGTCATCGAAAATAAATGTAATCTACAACATCCTGCACCTAACATTATAAAGAAAGTGATTGTAGAAAGCGATAAACAATCGCGTTGGTGATGTATTATTAACCCGGCCTGCAGCATGATATATATACTCTTTAACCAACATGGTCACCAATATTGAATCAGCGGTAATATATAGGCGTTGGTTTCTAAAATCTTCCATGCAGTCACTATTATTTTCGCGAAATCTTCGAAATCCTACAGAAACCTACAATGTACTGGGTTATTTTCATACCTGAACATTTAAGAAATAATTCTAGAAACGTGTCATAGGCCCGAATATTAGTCTTATCTTGTAAACAAAAGACATGAGTTGTTAAAAGCTGATACTGCATGATTAACTATTATACATTATGTTTGACAATGACGAAAACTGTATCGAGTTTGAGTTTGCGAGAGATACTTTTTGGAGAATGTTCTTCCTTAAGTAAATCGAAATTATCTGCTGGTAAAAATTCTTGGAATAAATGGAAAACACGATGATGCATATTTTAATGGTCATTTCCTTACCTTTCCTACTAACATGCTCCCGAAAACACCTTCTAGCTCAGATGACATAACGACCAAACCCTATATAAAACATAACATGTATATAAGGAACAAAGATTACTCGTGAACGAATGGCACCTTTATATGGCCCCATGCATATATATATATATATATATATATATATATATATATATATATATATATATATATATATATATATATATATATATATATATATATATATATATATATATATATATATATATATATATATATATATACAAATCATGTTCTAAAATTCTAAAACATACATACAAGTTCTGCCTGTTCACCACTATTTAACACCGGTAGGTACCGTTCTTAAGATATTTTAAGTACTATTTAAAAAGCTCAATAATAATTCATGAGGAAAATACAAAAGAAATTAATGTTTAATCATGCAATGTTTGTAAATCGGATAAAGATTTGTCCTAATTTAGGCTACATAAACTTCAGCTTTGATTTTCTCGGCTTAAACAATGTTTATTTTTAAAACTCCTTCGCCAATGAACTCATAAGATGGGTCGTTTTTTAAGCACGTTAAAACATTCGCATCCGATCTTTATCTGATATGAGATCGACTATAAAGACCGGCTGCTCATGTTTTAACTAGTACTTATAAGATGAGCAGCAGTGTTTTATCAGATATAAAGATACGAGGTGAAGCCAAGTATCTTTAGGTCTGATAAAATACGCACTGTGAATGTTTTAAATTACTTCAAAAACGATCGATCTAGTAAGTTCATTATCGAAGTAATTTTCAAAAAATACGTTGTGAAGTCGAGAAAATCAAAGTTAAAGTTTATGTAAATCAAGGGAAATCTCCATCACATATAAAGATACGACACGCCTATGCATGATTTTTCTTTGTGTTTTGCTCATGAATTATTAATGAGTTTTTGAAGCTAATTTAAAAGCATTTTCTGATCATCGTTTTTACTTGAAATCATTAAAATAAGCATTGAAATTCAATATCTAATAAATATCGACATTCGGACCCTTGCACGTTTTTGTTATCTTCAGACAAGTTTTTTATTTGACTAAGCCGTAAATTTACGTTCAAACATCGTGTAGTTTAATAATGTAGGTTTCTTTTTTCTTTAATTTATATTGTATCTTAGTTCGATCTCTTTATATCAGTCATTTATTTAATTGTTACTATCCTAGCCAGCCAGCCAACTAACTAGGCTAGTTCTCTGTGACTACTTTAGTTGGCTGTTTACCTAATCTGTTATATTTATTTTGTATTCTTTTCTTACTATTTTTGTCTTTGGTAATAAAAATAAAAATCTTCTTCTCGGTGTAGAAACACCGTTTTTTGAAGAACTGAAGTGCGTATTTGAACGAAAATCGACACAATATACAATACGTAATTACGACTCCAATTCCATTATTGTTGTGGGGGTTTTGACACAATTTTAAAAATACCTTTATTGCTTTAAGCAATGCCTTTAAACTTGAACGTACGACTTGTACCAGCTTATTAAACCTGAAAGATAATAACAGATATACAAGCCATCGAATATAAGCCCTCGCACATCAGCCCTCTTTGGTTGTTGTATGCAAGTATAAACCTACAGCATATCCGCGAAGTAAGCCCGACGGAGCATATAACTGAGACGTTGATATAGTCTGGCAACTCAATAAATCCAAAGTGTCTATATAATAAGCTAAACACGTTCGTTTGGCAAAACCTGACCCGGCCCAATGAATCCCAGAAGTGTAAATGCATGTACAAATCATTAATATTTCATCACATATATTTCGTCACAATATTTCACAGTGATTCGACCATGCAGATGTATGATATGACAATGATCGTCTCATTACGCAAAATATAGTCTTCACCGTCCACAATGAGGTTTGCACAACAAAATGACAGAACAAAGACTTTGGCCAATTTTACAGACCATATTCAGCCTTGCAAGTGACGTCACAATAAATTAGTTTGACGTAATTGCTTGATTCTCCATAGCGCTTATGATTATTTTTGCCATCCAATGTGGCGCGATTTCTTAAAGGCCTGCACTTGCAATTTTTGCTGCATTGCTAGTGCGATTTTCTTCTTCTGATGTATGTAAACGAGTGGATCAGCTATTTAAAATGTTCTGAGTATACGTATCCTCATCTAAACAATCATAACAGTAGTCTCACATACACAATCAGGGACGGAAGTAATTAGTATGCAAGAAGTCAGAGTGAAAAATGACGTCATTAGGGTGTGCGCACTAAGGGGTGTGCGTACGTCGGTAAACTTTATGTACAGCGCGCTGTTCGTGCATACGCGTGATGTAAAGTGAAAGCATGGGCAAGAATACTTTTCAAGGGTGGAAACATCAACTAGAAAAGCGGAAGTAAACATAAAAGATCGTGAATTCCTTTGATAAGGATTGTTTTGAGCGGGGTTGTTCTGAAGCGGTCCAAAGACGACTTGAGAGGAGACGTTGCTTTGAGGAGGATTGTTTTGAGGTAGTTCAGGTATAACTTGAGGCGTGACGAGAGAATGCTCTAGAATTATTTTTTCGAATTTCGTTAATTCTCTGAATCGCAAGACTTCACGGTGTTTTTTATCTGTTGCAGGCCTTAAAATATCGGTCGGTCACGGACATTGTCCGACCCATTCGTGAAATTGTCCGACGTAGAAAGGAAACCACCGGACATTCTGTCCGACCTAAATGAAACTGAGGTTTATTGTTTGTCCGACCCGAGTGTATTGGTGTCCGACCGAACTGTAGCTTTGTCCGACGTAAATCAAAATGTACCCTAGCCCAGGACAAGAGGCTTATATTTTAAATGGAAAATCAGAGTACTATTGTATAAAAGGTGAACTGGAAATGTTGTTTTAACGTAGTCGAGCGCGGGGCGGCGAGCGAAATGGTGAAGTGGAAAACAGGCTTAAGTTGTCAAAGTCTTTTTTAATACTGCTGTTCTGGCAAGCAAGTTAATTTTGGCTTGGAAATAAGTATGAAAGAAACAAATTATTTAATATCTTTACAACATTTACCGTTTATTCATTTGTGTCATTCAGACGAGCTAAAACTGAACTGAAGGTCATCGGACAAATGTCCGACCCAAACTCAACGTCACCGAACATTTTGTCAGACGGCCCTGGAAAAGATATTTTAAGGCCTGTGTTGTCTTCATTTTTTTCAAAGTGAAACTTTTGTAATTTTAATTTACCCATTGTGCGCACACCCCCTTAGTGCGCACACCCTAATGACGTCATTTTTCACTATGACTGCTTGCATACTAATTACTTCCGTCCCTGGGTGTGCATGTAAGACTACTCATAACAGGAGTTAAACATATAATAATTTAATTGTCTAGAAGCTCGATAAAATTGTACAAAATTAAGATAAAAATTCATTATATAAAAGAAATATATGTTTTGGTCTATACTGATAATATTAATTTTGTTCTAAGTTTTTAAAAAAACCAAACAATCCTTTAAATAAAATGTTTAAAGATGATTTCCACTCCGTTTTGCGCATCAGTTCTGCTCATAACAAAGGGGGACCCCGACCCCCAGATATAAACATTGCCTAAATTTTGCATCTTTCAAATATTTTTGAATTAAAACGTAGAGTTTATATTCATTCACAAGCATAGCGAACCACAAAAGTGTTAGATATTCAGTTAGTATATCATATTTTACAAATATAGCAGTTCAAAACGTAAACAAAGTTCGCGCATGCGCACAGGAGTGGACATCATCTTTAACTACTAGTATAATCTGGCAATTTCAGTCTCAATATCTATGTCTGTTTCTTGAACATCACATTGTTTCTTTCTCGTTATTCTCGATCCTCGAAGGCATAGGAGAGCAGATCTAATGATCGAAAATGATATCTTTGCTCTTATCCAAGCCATTGTCTTTGAATACTTTTCTCCCTTCTTTATGGCAACTAATTCTGCTAATCGACTGTGACATTTCTTGCATTCTGCACCCAGTTGTTGTAAAAATTAACGGCGCGAATGTTCCTTGTTCTATGTCGGTAACTCGTTGGTTATACATTCGTTTCTTCTCATTTTCATGCATACGATAAATCTGCTTTGGGGTTAACTCTTTATAAGATTCCGCATTTGGGTGCCATACCCGGACATCAAAGAATGCAGATCTTTGTCTTTCACAAACGCCACGTGCATGAACATCTAATCTGGCATGTTGTGATTTGTTTGATCCAGAGTTTAGCACTTCCCCATTTATTTCTTGCAGAGCTGGTTCGATTTGGATATCGTTACAGACAATATTCAACAGCTCAGCTTCCAGATCTCGTAATTTGTTATGGCGTTGAATAATGAAACCAGCTCCTTTCTTGCATATCATTGCATGGTCGATATTGAAAAGATCTCCACATGCACATCTTGTTGGGTTATCCTTGAACGGCCAATCATATCTCAAATTCAATGCACCTCTAAACTCCCGCTTGTTTAAGTTAAGGACCATCTCGGATACTGGGACGACTGTTAACCAGGAGCAGGCTCCTTTCTCTGAGGCAAGCTCTATAATTTGTTTCATCTTCGGTGGTGCCAAGTCAATGATGGATTTAGCCATTACATTTAAAGTATCGTTCTTCTCTTTCCGTGCCATTTGCTTCAGCTCATCCACTCTTGAATCAGGACGTTCGTGTATTTGCTCTTGAATTTGTTCTACCAATAGTGTTGTTACCTTTCTTGATACCGAATATTCCAATATTGCTTCATTGCATGGATTTGTTATCCCAATACCACCTTTCTTAACAGGTAAGGCTAGAATTTCGCGCTCTAGTGGTGAACATTTGTGATCAACCAAAGCTGGCAGGGGGAATTTTGTAATCGCTTCTTCTAATGGTTGCAATAGATCTTGAATATCAGGTAATGTTCGAAGAAAGTACGTCCATCGATGCTTCAGCCCAAAAGTGTAAACTGCAGAGCTTGCTTGAGGCCACAGCCTCAATGTTCGAACGAAATACGTCCATCGATGCTTCAGCCCAAAAGTGTAAACAGTATAGCTTTTCTTGAGGCTGTGTTGTTGCAAAATCAGCCAGATTGATTATCTCTTTCACCCATTCTTCCACCTTTCGTTAACATATTCGTTCAGGTATGACCTTGAACCAACAACTGGTCCTAAATGCCTTTTTCCTTCTGTCGTGATATTTATCTCTGTTTCTTTAAATATTTCTCTTATAATCTCTTCTTTCTCCGGTTTCGTAATCAACCAACACTTGTCATCTTTGGGGTGGTAACCGTATTCAGGACCATCTTCTATCAATGTATCCCACCATTTCTTCAGCTGTATTGCGGTCCCTGCTCCACTAGCGTCGTCAGCGAACCAGCATTGCTTTGCAGAAGATGTGATTTGTAAGCGCGTCTTGTTCGTCGCTTTCCACCATAGCTGCCTATAGCATCTATGCCGTTGCCGTTACTTTTGCCTTGACGTATCTCCCATTACTTTCTCTAGTCTCTCAAATTTTGGCTTGTTAACCCCAGCTGTTCGTATTCTCGTGCCTCCATAGGTATGCATAACTTTGATGTAGCCTTTTCGTCTCCCATTTTCGTTTACAGGGGTGTTTCGTCTCCCATTTTCATTTGAAGTAGCCTTTTCGTCTCCCATTTTCGTTACTACTCATAACTCATCCACTCGTTCACATTCATCAGGAGAAGAAAATCGCAACAAAAATTGCAAGTGTAAAAGGGCCTTTAGCGTGACGGACTATTCCCGTGTGACTGTAAGATCTGAATGTACATATCTATTGACTACTATCATGATGGATGGGAGTATATACAATCTGGTAACTTCACATGGTAACGGCGATCCTCTTCTTTTCTAAGCTCCTCTAACTGTATTCTAGAAACTTCGTTAGTCCGATGGAATATTGCACATACGATGCAGTCATTAATTTAATAACTACAAATTAAATACTTAATTTACCTGATCAATTCCTGATGTAAAACTGTGTTCATAGATTCTTCATAACGTAATGGATACTTTTCCTGAAGGAAAGTATATATAAGTTCTTTGTAGGATTGCATGGCGATAAAACACATGAACTTTGTAGAAACACCACGTATATAAGTAATAAATTTACAGCAATAAATTGCGGTATTTATTTATTTATTAATATATTTAGTATTTATTTGCAGTAATAAATTTACGTGGTGTTTCTACAAACAAAAAGAATGAGCCGAAGGCGCGCGCGAGACATTAAATTGAATGTTCTAATTCCTCTCAAAATTTCACATGTGAAATAATTCGAGTAATACCATATCTATAGATATTTAATTAAATTTACCTTCACGGCTTCAATGTTGAAATCCGGAGGAAGCTTGGACAAAATATCAACCGCAAGTTCTTGTATTACTTCTTGAGATGATTTGCCTCCACTAGAGGACTGAAATTTAAAAAGCGTTATTATATTTGATATATGCATCTGCAATTCGTAATTGGGGACTAAAGGCTGCTTTACACTGTCATTGTGCTTGATGTATATAATTTAATAATATTAAGTCTGTCATGTGCATATGAACCTTTGAAGCATGCACATTTCATTACGATGATTAGGCATGATAATCTCCATGCATTGAGCCAATAATCTTAGAAATATGACAGAACTAATTCAGATAATTCAGATAACATCAGGGGTCTGATCCTGAGGTAAATTCACAGATGTCAAAAAAGGGCACACTAGGGTTATCTGGAGGCATAATGCTCCGCTAGAAAATTTAGAAAATGCGGTGTCTCAGATTGGCTAAAAATCCATTTGTTACATATTATTCTATAGTCTCAACCTCGTACCCAGGGTTTTATCTCCGCTAGATAAAACCCTGGGTACGAGGTTGCTATAGTCTATACATGCATTTATACACTATTGCACTATTAAGATGGATGCACTTAATTGCAATTCTGAGGTCGTACCTACAATATAGGTAACATTCTTTCTATTGGTTATTGTTTTAGAATTTCTCCTTCTATCTAAATTTTTACAATTACATTTTTCGTTCTTGGGGAAATATTTTCTGGGAACTCAAAACATTTTCTGGGACCAATGGTCCCGTGGTCCGATACTTTTTCCATCCCTGGTCAGCACTTTGTACATCGCTTCTTACAACTTCACAAAATAGAGCCATTTTCTTACCTGACGCGGCAAAGTAAGAAGAATACTGTCGAATAGCTGATTAGTTTCCCTCTGGTTTTTTGTGATGTCTGCATTTTCATGAAGACCAAACACCTAAATGATTAAAACTAACATTAAACATTTATTCAAGTTTAAGATTAGTTACATCGTAACTTTTCCTTTTTAGCCCGTTAAAACAAAGAAAATTCGGGCAAATTTTTCACAAAATGTGTTTATTACAATCCTTCATAAAAATTCTGGAAAACTTTCGAGTGATCCAAATCGAAATTTATCCGCCCATACGCTTATGCCAGCCAAGGTATAAGGGATGGGGATACAAAATTAAGGGATATAATATTATTTTGTCTTTCTTAGTTGGATATTCAAAATGGCAGTCCAACATGGTGAGAAATATCGACACCTTTCCCCCACAATTTCTCTAGTTTCATTAATCACAATAGAACACATGGCTCAGCTAGATTCCTTAGAATCCAGTTTACGAAAACTGAGTGATCGTAATAAACCAGGCTGATAGTATACTTTTATTATAAACTTACCTCGGGATGAGAGATCAGAGGCAGTTGCTTGATGTACTCAATGTAACTTTCATAAGAACCCTAAAATACGGTAAATGATGATAATCATCAATTGAGATCAATTTACCTGCATGGGGCCGGTTTTTTAAAGCCGGATTAGCGCTAACATTAAAACCACTGACAATGTAAAAAATTAAAATTACCACACTATAAAAAATTAAAACAATAATCGCGTATCCAGACAAATTTTAAAGAAAACCCGTGTAAATTCACCTCTTTAGGCGGAAAGTAGTTGCCACTAAGTGAATATTTGTAATCATCGTTTCCAACGGCTTCTTCATAGTAAAAGATCGATAAGATGCTTAGGATTAGACGCCTGCAAGGAAGCAAGTACACCGTTTAGCAATAATGGACCAAATATCGTATCACACTGAGGTACCCTATAACCTGCGACACAAGTTAGTTTAACAAAATTTCTCCCCACACAAGTATCTACAGTTCACTATCACCCGCTTTATGCATGCCCAGAAAAGCACATATAGCTGCTCAAACAGCTGCCCATACGCAGGAAGACATATTTTCAGTGATAACGTCGTTAGGGCACCTCAATTCTTGTTTATCAAAGATGCATGTGAGATATAATTAAGTAGAACATGGGTTGAACAGGAGTTTGTCATGAATTAATGACAAAGCCGCAATGGTTGCTTTCGTCAATAAATCCATCTCACAATGACAAACATAGACATTTTAGGTCATACTCAGACGTATTGTATTTCAATTGTTTCATTTCAAGCAATATTTCAAATCCGACTATGAGGACTGGACTAGATTTCAAATATGATTTTTATTTGAAATTACCATCTTCAATAAACCTTCAACTTTTGAAAACAGTCGACAATCAATTTGACGAGTGTGGGGTGTATACTTCAGAACCCTGGTAGGAAGTGGTGGATGCCGACCTTTCCAAGCTGGGAGGAAAGCTGAGAGGGGACATACGGCTTAGTTCAGGGGCTGCTTCACGGCTACGAAAATCACAAACACTCCCATGTGTGGAGGGATTTAATCGCTATTTTCCATTTAGTAAGATCACCATTTATACAGAAATAAATCCCACCTGTCCCAGTTATCGGTTACCCTGCCACCATAGTTGCACTGACCAATAAGGTATGTCAACGCCTCATATGGAACGTTGTTGTAGTCATTTAGAAACATCTGAAAATGAAACAAAAAAGTGAAAATTCAAATACAAATTGTTCAAAAAATGGATTAATCAAGCGCTGGGAAATTACGATGGTTCTGATATTTTCACAAACCATTAAGTAAACATAGAGTGAAGCGAAACCGCCTGAGAAAATGCTAAATAGATCAAATTATATAGTTAGACAGTTACCTGCTGCTGACGCACGCTGATTCTTAAATCAGACTCGTTGAATTCATAAGGGATATTCCAACCCAGTGGACCGAAATTTCTTCTCTCTTGTACCAGTGCATGAAAGAAACACAAACCAAAGAGCATTTTCTTCCAAACCTAAAAAGGAGTGTGTATAAATCAATTTTATATCATTTCTCAACGAAGAGAATATTAGCCTACCTTTATAGCGAAAACTGAACCATAAGTAATACATTGAATACTAGAAATAGATAATACTCAAACTTGTATTATCTGGGAATCTAAAGCAACATGTTGCTATTAAGCTGGTAGTGCTATATTATTTTTTTGTTTATAATGACATGTGTATATATTTGATTGGGCGAATAAAATTAAATTAACTTCTGCTATTTATATTTATTTAGTACATATCTATCAAAATATTAATACTTTATTACTATACTTACTACTATACTGTATGCCAAATGTTTTAATATAATATCGTAATGAAAAATTATTTCACGACATGCTTCACTATTCTAGCTTCGGTAAATGAATGTAACCCCCGAACAAACTGCATTCACGACACAACGCACTCAAGTCTAGTGTCTTAATAAGGGACGGTTTGTGTGCAAATTCTCCACACTCACTCGTTCACTTAGAAATTCGCTTCACTCCTTCACACCGGTTAACACAAATCGCAAGTTTGTGAAAAAATTTTACTCTTTTTGTTTACCTTAGGTTTGTTACAACCATCAAAGAACATAGGATCCAGTATTGGATAGCTATGATAGCTTCGTAACAAGTTAGCACGTAGACCTTTGGGAGGCTCATTAGTCATTTTAATACCTACACCAAAAGAACGAAATCTTGGAGTGAGCGTTGATTAAAAATGAGAACTCAGACACATGTAACTGGTATATGACTGCATATCACAGGTAAATATAGAGTTGGTGGAAGAACAAAAGCCGAATATACATGTGATGTCTCAGTCAACATATTGGCATGCCAGAACAAAAGAATTTTGATTAGATCCTTTCGTCAGATATACACCAACGAACTACAGGGTGATCAAAAAAAGAAAATCCAACTTAAATATTAAGTTTATTGATAAAAATGTTTTTACACAGCAAACAAATGCAAGCTTTTAGTTGTCCAATATGATACCTTCTTAGTAGCAACATATATAGGTGCCGATCGACCCGGATTTTTGGGATGGAGGAAGGGCGCTGAGGGTGTGAGGAGGATGAAGGTGTGGGGCATTATGTATGCAATGACGTCATAATAGACGCGGAACAAGACTGGGCAAGTTTGAGAAAAAACAGTCAGTAAGCCGAGCTATCACAATAGGTGCTACACGTCAGTCACCAAGATTGGGAAATGGATTGCCTTCCTACATCATCGACTGGTAGATTTTCATGATCAGGTATTTACTTTGTTTTAAAAATATATGCGAATCCAGCAGCACATGAAGTTCAAAGAATCAAATCGATCATCCTAGTCAACGACAACACAACTGCCTTATGATGGACGAATACGAATGATGGCAAATGTATGGTTGGAATCATTTCGCTGAGGCCACGAAAGTATTAAAACTGGAGGTTGGCAGAGATGTACTTGAATATTTGCAGCAAAGCACTATTAAGCTAAGCGAAAATTAACATTTAACGGAAAGCAAATATTCTCAAACAAGTGGTGCTTAGTTTTCACTTGTTCGATCGCTTCTAAACCATACATTTGCTATCGTTGGTATTCGTTCATCATAAGACAGTCGTGTTGTCGTTGACTGGGATGATCGATTTGACAACCATTATATGATTCCTTGCAAACTATTTTGAACTTCATGTGCCACTGCATTCGCATATATTCCTTCCAACAAAGTAGATATTTGATTGTCAAATCTACCAGTTGATGATGTAGAAAGACACTCCATTGTCCAATCTTGGGGCTATTGCGATAGCTCAGCTTAATGACTGTTTTTTCCAAAAGTTGCCCAGTCTTGTTACGCGTCTATTATGGTGCCATTGCATACATAATGAGTGACGTCATGCATAAATAATGGTGCAGCTCCTCACCGTGCGCCGCCCTAAAAGTAGGGGTCGATCAGCTTGTATATTACTCCTCTTCATTGTCTCATTATAAAGGAAAATGATCGAATATAGATCCCGATTAAACATTGTCTCGACTAAACACACCGTTATGAATTGAGTGCAAAATTATTGCAAATAAATCTCATTTGGATCTAAAATTCATGAATTTTAATAAAAAGCTCCATAATGTGGGAAAATTAAATAATTGTTGATAAATTCTGTCACTTCTGTTCACATGATTGTAAAATTAATTTTTACATATAAATTTTTACTTTTAGATGTGAAAGAAAATGTGAAATTCAATTTCACATATGAAATGTTCCAATTCCATACATAATTTTATATGTGAAATAATATCGTGAAATTTTCATATGGGGCAATACGAACCATAGACGGATTTTCTGGGGGGATGCAGAATATTAGCTATAACCCCCTCCCAAACAAAATGTTCACCCCTCCAAAAAAATGTTCAACCCCCCCCCCCCAATTTCGGCATAATAAATGAATAATTAAATAGTCCACTCCAACATGCAGAGTGTTGATGACACAAAATAAGACAGTGCAACACTCTGAAACTAATCGCTCCTCGCTTGCATTCACTGGTTTATTGGAGCAATTGTAAAGTTTTGAAACTCTATTATCTTCCCTGAATAGAGTTTGCAGTGCCTTGTCATGCGAATAGCTTGCACGCAAGGAACGTTTGGAATTTTTACGAACACTATTTTTAGTTTTTAATTCTTTTAGGAAATAGACTTGCCTAGATTTAATCTTTACGCCCCAAATATTATTTACATCGGAGTTGCATCATAAATTGTACTCGGATTCAGTGGCGTAGGCAGCCCGACAATTTAGTCCCGCTATGCAAATTTAAAATTATTATCATTATTCATTTCTTTAGAAATTGATTGTTTTCACAGTCAATGAACATGAAAATATTTGCATAGCGGGACCAAATAGTCGGGCTGGCTACGCTACTGCTCGGATTCAAACAACACAATGTCAATGACTTTATAAAAATAAAAGCATATTGTGTATTGGCCTATTGGGTTTACACTTTTATAGGTTCATTTAACTTTAAGTCTTTAACTCTCTCAAGTCTTAACAGACAATCGGACATACCAAATCCATTGATATGACAAATTGACAACTTCAAAAAACTTTTTTTCGAAGCTAGAAATCATGATTTTTTTCAAATTTTTCCTGGGATACTTTGTTTTCCGATCTCTAGACTCCCCTATAGTGCTCCACCCCTAGAATGTAGACCTTACTGGGGCTTGGTGACATTTTGTGTTGCTTCAGTCACCTGCTCACGACTCACACCCCCCCTAAAATTTCTGGCACCACCCCAGTAATAAATACGAAAATCCGTCTATGATACGAACACAGATTATTATATTATCACTTTATGTGTTAAGATAATCCTTTCATTGAAATGTTGTGGGTAAAAAACATGTCAAAAATTAATTTTGTATGTATATTAGTCTAACTAATCTAACTTACATCGCATGCAATAGAATTTTCACTATATACAAGCACAACATGTATAATTGAATACCGTTTTGAAGGATGGAAACTGGAAAACTGTTCGTCGGATAACTAGTCAACCATAATCTAAAATTTGGATGCGTTCTTGCTTCTGGTGTAAGTGACTAAAACAAGTGATAGATATTAGCAAAACAATTGCAAACAATGTATCTATCAATTTGTTTTAATAATACATTGAATATTTGTGGATTCTGTTTAGAGAAAAGAGCTAAATTACCACCATTCTAAACAAAGTGCATTCATTTATGAAATTGTACCTCTTCACAAATTTTTTCCAAGGTTGGCAACCAAGAAACAGCCAAATGGCAATTCTGCAAAACTACCCATCGTCCTTCTATTGTGGCCTGAACAAAAATGTATATTTCGTAATTAAATCATTAAAGGCTAGATCAGTTTACACTAACTAACAGCAACCGATCTGAACCACTATATAGCTATGCCCAGGTGAAAAATATAACCACCTTGGTGAAAGAACAATATATATTATCAGTATTAACTTTATTGATTAATATATTATCAGTATTAACTATTATCAGTATAATTAACATATTACTGATCAGTATTATTGATTTATATATTATCAGCATTAACTTTGTTGATTGGGAAACGTACTCCTACATAACAGGTATTTAATAGAAAAATCTGGATAAAGTTTGTTTATACCCAATTCACAACTTTAGACGATTCACACGCCTAGTTAACTATTGTTCTAGTTTACAGAAGCATAGAATAGAACAACGGTAACTACAAGTTTTAGATTAATTATCTACATGAGTGCATAACTCGTACATACAATATAATTATAATGCTTAGTTACCTTTGTTCTATCGCTTCTGTAAACTAGAACAATCGTAACTAAGCATATACGAGTTATTTAAAGTTGTGAATTGGTTAGCAACGATGTAAACAACGTTAGCCAAAATTGTTTATAAATGTACAAGCTAATTATTATCTTCAATATAATTATCACCTTCGCTATAATTTTTGTTGCTATTGGACCTTGACCTTGTCCAAGGGAGATAGTATCACAATTTGATCGACCAACACCTAAAGATAAAGCCACATTTGAGTGTAAAAGAAATGACAATAAAAATTAAATTTTATACTTATTTGAAAGGAATTTCAAGAGGATATGAAAACCTGGAGAGGATATTCAAGAGGATATATGAAGATTCAAGGGGTACACGAAGACCCTGAACAACTTTTCCACATCATATTTGGTTTTCGAAATATTTGAACCAAAACGTGCATTCGCCATGATGCACAACGCACTGTTTCTGGTCAAAATATGCCTTAAGAGCGAGTGTCCGTAAATCTCGAGAATCGGACGACAAATTGGAAAATTCGAAATTCCATTTATTTTACCTATAGTATCCACTGGGTGAGCTATTTTAAAAAATATAGTTCAAAAGTCGCAGCTCCTCTTATTTTTCGAGAAATTACTAAACATGATTTTGGGGCTTTTAAGTCAATTTTCATCGGTCAAAATACAAGATTTTGAAGCATTCGTGACGGCTACCTTTTAAATGTATTACGGCCGGGTTTTTTAATATAATCGAAGTACATCTCTATATTTTGTTTTACTAGCAAAATCTTTTTTGATTACGAAGTCTTTCTTGACATTTAAAAGTAGCAAATATATGGTGTTTACGGCTCACAACAGAAAGGCCATTTTTTGTCAATTTCAATGTGCCCAAATGAACCGTGGTACATGACAAATTGCAATGAAAATAAGACTATCTTGCAAAGTAGCCATCTGTTTATAACATATTAAAAAATCTCTGGCGGCAAGCAAAACCCGCACCAGTGAGAAGTCAAAATGTTGATGCTATTTTTAGATGTCGGTGCATCATAATTGTACATTACACCGGTAATTACATGCAGTCACAATGTGACAGTTTTGTCGCATTTCAAAGATGCAGCGCAGAGTGAGGAACACAACAACAATATTACTGTTGGAGAAAGTTAAAAATAGTACATTATTGTTTTAAGTGATGAAAATGTTTTTAAATCAAATTAAAGAGGTGTTTTATCAAAGATCAATCAATTATGACACAAATGCGTCACTATATAACACTGTTATTATTTAGTAAATTCCTTGAGCGTATATTCTATACAATAAATAACAATTCATATATTAAATACTTTAATAAAAAACAATTAATCACAAACGACAAGCAAAGACTTGTATAAATGACAGTAAAACTAGAAATCAAGCGAAATATAAGCACAAACGAGACATTAATTGTCCCTATATGCGTGCAAGGTATACAAATATATAAAAAATATAAACGGATGTGCCAGTTAAATATCGTGCACAATAATCAACCCGGTCCAGAATAATTTTGTTGATGCAAACGAAATTAACAAAAGCAGAAAAAGGGGAAAACTTAAAATTTTAAAATTTAGAAGTTGCTTTGGGCAATCTGAGTGAACGAACGATTATAGCATACCAGACATTTTAATCTTTAACTTTGTAAACAATTACATTATGACATACTTTTGGACTTAAAGAAATATTCAGTAATATATAACAAGCAAACAAGAAGGAAACTGTAGGATGGCATCGTGTTACTATGCAACACTAGTTGGCGGTCAGTGTGGACCTAGTTCGTACAATCCTTCTATTGTAGAATGCGTAACAATCAAGGATTGTAATAAGGACATTTTAAACCATTGCTCACAATATAAAATTAGTAACGATTGTGGCCTGTCTGGAAGTGAATCAATGTTACTTCTTGGTCGTGCAGGTAACGTCACCGAATTTAATGTTTATTTTTCATTCTTTGACTTTGTTGACTTACTGTTTGCAAATTTTAAAGATTGTAACTAAAACGTATCGGTATTCTTTAGGAATTTTTGAAATCGACGAGTCATACATGAAGATGACAGTGTGTCCTTTACATCGAGATTTGTATGGCATTCGCTGGAGGTGCAACAAGACCAGATGCTCAATTCGAAATGACCTTGCAGCACATAAATCTTTATCCGTCAAAGCTCAATGTGGACTGACAACTTTATTATCATCTTTTATTTTTAACAAGACCAAGATACTTATTCCTGTGGGAACAGGTACGAGGTTAATTTATTCAATACATCTATTTCCTGCGTATAAGGTCGGCAGGAAACGTGAGAGAAGTATGAGGATATTTTACTATGCATGCACAAGTAGTGCAGGTTTTGTTTTTAACTGAATTTCCACGTTTTTTGTAGAATGAAGAATTTACTTATACTAAACTTTTAGCAGCAATGCCTTTATTTTACAGGATATACAGTATAATGTATACGTTAACTTTTTGCTTGTTTTAGGGATATGCAGGAGCTGTAAAGAACATTTAGCTCATCTGGCAACAGAATGGAGAACTAGTAATTTAGTGTCAACTGACGACGAATCAAGTAACTGCTTAGAATTATCAACATCTCTGCCGCAGATTAACGCAGAACAGCCGGTAATAAGAAACAATTTTAACTTTATCACGAGCCATGATCCATGCACTACATTTTAACAGCTTCTATTCTTTATTAGGAAGACAGTAATACTGGTACGTCAGATGAACTTGTTGAAGAAATGGATAAACTTGTACTTAACGAGACCAGGTGGAGCATCTTCTCTCCAGACACTGCAAGTACTACATCATCATCATCTTGTGACGTCACCGATGTTTCTTCTTCATTGGTTGCTAGAAGAAAAAAGCTAAACGAATATTTGGAAGCCTGTAATATTCATCCTTTGAAAAGACCAATGTCAGATTGGGACCAGATATCAGAGCGCACACAAGAACGATACATCCAAAAAACATGTGAAATTGTCTCGTCAGTGTTAAATGATATTTCATCCACTAATGCCCCACATCTTTGGAAAGGGCTTCAAACTTCCGGAAGGATGAACAAAGCATTTGGATTAAGCCATCAGCCAGCAGAAAAAGCTTATTTAGAAGCCTTAGCCGAAGCGTATAAAACCGCAGATAGCTGGGATACTCGGCGCCAAGTCTTATCTACCATGTCCGATGTGGCTAATTTTAATGTCATTTCAGAATATATTCCTGGTCTCACACACTACCGTTTTACTATGGCTAATCTTCATCGACTTCAGTATGGAAGGTGCGTTCCAGTTCCGTTAAAGACATCGCCTCGTCTTCGTATATGTCAGCAACAGCTTGACCATTTTCTGAGCTTTATAACAAGCCCCCATTTAGTGCAAGACTTGCCGTTTGGCGAAAAAGAATTGAAGATGTCCTCAGGTAAAACAATTAAAGTACCGAACATCATCCGTACCATGATACCTCAAAGAATTGTGAACCAATACTCTCAGTACTGCAAAGAAAACAATTTTCAATCTTTCAGTAAGAGCACAATGTTAAGAGTACTAGACGAATGTAGTGCAACCCATCGTAAATCTCTTCAAGGTCTCGACAACTTTGCTGCTCAAGGTGGGCGATCCTTTGATGACTTGGGCACCGTTGTGCTGACTATCTCACCTTTAAAGAAAGATGGCGAAAATTGGGCAGCAGAAATGCAAGAGGCTTTGAAAGTGGGAAAGCTTTATCTAAAAGGAGATTACAAGGTAACAAACCAATTAAACAAGGCAAAATCATTAAATATGTTCTTCGTATTTATATATTTTACAAACCTGGTATGAAATTTATTACATTAATATTAATATTATATCTCAACGTAATTTTTCCTGAATGCAGTAGGCACTTTACAGTACAGTACAGTAGAGTACATTGTCGGGCATTTGTTTTATGTGCCATGTTTTAGTTCTCATTTTTGCGTTCTATTTCAAGGTGCACGTCAGTGACAACGCTCGTGTCCCTGACCATTGCTATATGTACGCGTTAAGCGACATCACAGATAAAGATTTCAAATACAAGTGCAAACATAAACATGACGAAAGGTGCGAGCAGTGTGAAAGTCTTGACTTAACGCTAAAGAACATAGAACAAGCAATCGACGAGTGCACTTTTTCCTCGGAGGAAGAAAGAGACGAAACCCTGTATCTATTCACATCTGCAGTGAGAGCCATCAACTTGTGGAAAGGCCATCAACTTCGGAGTGTTCGACAAGACCAAGCCAGACTAGACGTGATTAATCTCCTAAAAGACGAGAAGACAGTGTACATAGTGAATGACTGGGCAATGAAGTTCCTTCCCCATCAATACCGCGAATCACAGTCAGATTGGTTTGGGAAAAAGGGAATCTCCTGGCATATCTCTGTCGTTTTTCGAAAATCGAATGGCCAATTAGAGTCTCAAGGCTTCATTCATATCATTGAATCTTGTAGCCAGGACAGTGCTGCCATTGTGTTAATCATGCAGCATGTCCTAAAGACCTTGGAAACCGAGAATCCGAAATTGAAGAGAGCATTTTTCCGCCAAGACAATGCCGGATGTTATCACTCAGCCAGCACAATTCTTGCATGCCATCACATCGCCAAGACAACAGGAATAAAGATTTCAAGGATTGATTTCAGCGATCCCCAAGGGGGGAAAGGGTCAGCTGACCGTCTTGCCGCTACTTGCAAGTGCCATATCAGATTGTTTGTAAACGAGGGTAACGACGTTACAAATGCTGGAGAAATGAAAAATGCCCTGTTATCACATGGTGGTGTCGAGGGAGTAAGAGTGGCTGTAGTACCGTGCATCGATGATTCTTTCGTCGCTCAGCTAGATAAAATCCCTGGAATAAGTAAACTGAACAACTTTGAGTTCAAAGGAAGAAATATTGTTACATGGCGAGCTTATGATGTTGGAAAAGGAAAAAGAATAAGTTTATCGAAGATCCAAGGTAACCGTGTATGCTTTTCTAACACATTCCCTGGGGTAATGGGTGTGGCAATAGACATGCATGGTGGACACTAAAAAGTATGGGCGAAAAAGTTAGTTTGGGCAAATGTAAAGGTATCATCCGACAAAAATCTATTAAAGCCACTACAATTATCTTTAATTTCGCATTAGTCGTACGACAAATTGCCGTATAAAGTGAGTGCCTTTCATAGAAGGAGAAAATTGTATTATGCAGCCACCGTTAATTTTTAGGGCACCAAAGTCAGAACACATCACTGATCTGTTCGTAGAGTAATTATATTCTATCTTATTGTTGTAGATATAACCTTTAATTGGATCACTGTCGGGTTTTCATCTGGAAATTTTAAACTCGTTAAATCAACAGCCGAAAACACAAAGCGAAACCAGCAACCTGTGACTACTGAATTCGAAAAGGCCGTACAAGAAGAGAAGGCAGAAGATAGTGAATCACCAATCTACTCTTGTCCTCAAGAAGGATGCACTCGTGTTTTCCAGAGATCTTCTGCACTAGAAAAACATCTTTCTTTGGAATCCTGCACCAGCATTCTTGAAAAGCAGACCATGTTGGATGTTGCAAAAGAAAAATATGCATCCCTTTTAAAGGAAGATGTTTGCGCGATTCCATCCATAAGCACTTCTTGCAGCACTGTCGTTGCCGATTCCTATCCTGTTGCCCAGGAGGGGTGGGCACTTAAAGAATCGACAAAAAGTTATCGTTTCAACGAAAAGCAAAAAAGCTACCTAACCTCTAAGTTCAACATCGGCCAAGAGACAGGACGGAAAATGAAAGCGGACGTTGTATCGAAAGAAATGAGGCATGCGCGCGGGGAGGATGGTCACCGGCTATTCGGTGTCACGGAGTTTCTTTCTGTTGAACAAGTTTCCTCATTCTTTTCTCGCATGGCTGCAAAGGTCCGACAGCAAAAGATCACTATAACGGAAGCAGATGCTGCGGCTGCTGTAGAAGAGGATAATTTTCATAAAATGAGAAACAAAGTTTTGTCATCGTTGCAACTACAACACCCTATCGTTTTTGATCAATATAATGTATGTGATATGGTGAAAAGTAGTACTCTGAAAAAATTGAAAATGGATATGCTTCAACGCCTATGCGAAGAACTTAACCTCGATGTTCCAGAAATGTCTGGCAAGAAGAAGAACACAAAATTACCTTACATCAAGCTCCTAGAAAGTGCTGTTTCGGGATGCTCCTGTAGCACTGGCTGACTGCTACAGATGAACGAAAACTGTACTGTACATTTCTATATACTATACCCTTAACCAGTAAGTCACAAATTTAGTTATATTTGCCAAAAACTTGACGAATCAAGTTAGCGCTCCAAACAATGATATAGTTTTAACGTACGATGTCTTAAAGCAAAATAGCGTCGCATTAGTAAAGTTTAAATGTAAAAGAGTTTTATTGTTTAGGGAACACTCATGCCGAGGAGGTATGAAGATGTTAAGGGGGCACCAAAATATTTTCAGGCATTAAGGGGCGGGGCTCTAAAAGTTCTCTGTATATACAGAAGGGGGGATATAAATATTTCAATGTTTTGGTGAGGCGGGGCCTCATCATGATAATTTATCATGACCCTACTAAAAGGTGTGTACATGAGACTCTGAAAACGCTGTTTCTGACTAACCATGGCGTGGCGCCCGCAATGAAGTCACTAACCTGCCCTTCTGACTGTGGAAGAAAAGTGTGTCCTTGTCAACTAGTTTAATGCTGAGCATAAAAATACCTCAACTCCTTGGTCCTTGGGTTCTGATTTCTGGGCGGCATTGAAATTTTGAAGTATCCTTTGGGGGGGGAGGATCGTCGAAAATATTGCGATAACTCCAACAGGGCCCCGAAAAAATATGCCCCTTTTTGAAGACATCTTCATCCCCCCGGCATAGTAAATAAACAAATTAAAACTGGTTACTAAATTAAAATTGGTTTTGTGAATTGCCAATTTTAGTTTCGTTAACAAAATTATAGATTGACTGGTTTAATGTGACGCGTTTGTACTAGCTGGCCTCTATTATCGATTGATCTCAGATAAAATACTCCCTTGCATGAACTTAAAAAACGCATTCATCACTCAGATCTCTAGTGTACTCTTTTAAAGTTTGTCTTAAAAATTAATAGCGTTGTTTTCGTTATTCCGCGTTCTTTTGTTAATGAAATGCGATAAAACTGTCACTGTAATTACCGTTGTAATGTACAAACGTGTTGTCACGTCAGGCAAAATCTAAAAATAGCATCAACATTTTGACTTCTCACTGGTGCGGGTTTTGCTTGCCGCCAGAGATTTTTTAATATGTTATAAACAGATGGCTACTTTGCAAGTTAGCCTTATTTTCGTTGCAATTTGTCATGTACCACGGTCCATTTGAACACATTGAAATTGACAAAAATTTGCCTTTCTGTTGTGAACCGTAAACACCAAATATTAGCTAGCTTTAAATGTCAAGAAAGATTTTGGAATAAAAAAAGATTTTGCTGCTAAGACAAAATATAGAGATGGTCTTAGATTATACTAAAAAATGGTCGTAATATGTTTGAAGGGTAGCCGTCACGAACGCTTTAAAATCCTGTATTTCGACTGATGAAAATTGACCTAAAAGTCCCAAAATCATGTTTAGGTAATTTCACGAAAAATAAGAGGAGCTGCGACTTTTGAACTATATTTTTCAAAATAGCTCACTCAGTGGATACTATGGGTAAAATAAAAGGAATTTCGAATTTTCCAATTTGTCGCCCAATTCTCGAGATTTACGGACACTCACTCTTAAACCAAGAAAAATAGAAACGGATCGTAGAAGAACTTCATAAAAATAGAAAAAATTAAAAGTCGTTTCAAATCAAGAAAACCCACAATACTAGCACTCCCTGATCTGGTAACGCTTTTTCTTTCCAAAAATTGAAATAAATATGAGCAGCTGCCATGGCTCATACCAGTGGTCTACAGTATATGTGCTAATATGCTACCGAATAGAAAAATAAAAAGTACGTTATTTGCAGTTTAATTATCTCCTTCAATTTTGGCATATCAAAAATTCACTCTTCGAAACTGTCATGTTCTTTTTTACTGATGTTCCAGCCTGCAAACACGAAATGTGGTACTTGCCGCTGATTGGCTATAGAAAATCTAACAGACATATTAAGACACTTAGTCGCACGATAGCAATAAATCTTACTGCAAGTGATATGACACAACCTACTTACCCACATCGTCAGCAAATTTTAATAAACTAGCCATCGGATCGGCGCCAGGAGAAAGAATGAATATCAAAGGCACATAACAATTAGAATCTTCAAAACATTTGTCTAGCTCGAATGTTGGCGGTTCAACATAGAGTAAGCTGAGATTATAGACTATAAAATCTTGAATTGCCACAGTCATCTAAAAACAAAGTGAAAAGAAGCCTATCACGTCTTTAATTCAGAGAGAGGAAGAGAAACGAAATCTGAACCAAGGTATATACTGTAAGCATCTTCACTACGCAGTGAAGTCACTGCACTTACCTTATCAGGCCTAAGGCATCGCAATATAAGCAGCTTTTGGAAATTATTCAAATCATCATTCCAAGGATCAGGTAAGTTCTCCTTATGAGGTTCACGCGAGTCATAAACATTCTTCCATGCTGAAACCTAACAATATCATATGATCTAACATCTGTCATGCGTTTATACTTTCTTTTTCACTAGAATAAGTCATACATATAGATATTGATGGAGGGCGTGATCGTCAATACCCACGTAAAAAGTGCTATAAAATGTAAATTTTGGGGAGTCATTTTTTTTTAAAGGGGCTTGACTCCTTTTTCCGAAGAATATAAATTGCAATAAATTGTACAGGGTGTCTCAAAAAAAACGCTACGGAAATTCAACAGGCTGTTGTGCGTCATAAACGTAGCTAAACAGTTCGATTTTTACATAGGAAGAGCTATTATTTAGCTTTTCTATGACATCTTTTTGAAATCGATGAGAAATGGCTACACACTCGTCAAATAAAAATTGCCGGTCGAAATCACATTCTTCCACCGTTGGGAATTGAAAATAATTAATTATGCAAAGTTAGTCAATCCAAAAGCAACGCGAGCCTGCTGCAAGCTATTTGTTTCATAAAACGTTTTGATAACGAATGTTAACGAATGTTCTGTTCAGGGGTTAATTGAACCATGTTTCGTACCAAATTCGTATTGAGTTATTGTCTCACTAAGACGAAGATTGACGAGTTGAGCTTATTTTAGATAATTTAACATTCAATTTTAATTCGCTCTTGGGAATTGTTTATGGTTCGTTTTCCATGCAATTCCCAACGGTGGAAGAATGTGATTTCGACCGGCAATTTTTATTTGACGAGTATGTGGCCATTTCTCATCGTTAAAAAGAGTATCATTGCAAAGCTAAATAACTTTTCTTTCGTCCTATGTAAAAATTGAATTGTTCAGCCACGTATATGATGCACGACAGCCTGTTTAATTTCCGTAGCGTTTTCTTTGAGACACCCTGTATAATACCCAAATAACCTTGACGCGAATTGGCCATAAACCTTTACGCCAATTCAAACAGTATACTTATAGATGAACATGCAATAATTCAAAATATTGCATCCAAAGATTGTATCAACTTGTCTAACCTCGAATCTTATGTGGCACTTAATTAATACGTGCAGTCTGCTTCGTTTTACACCTTACCTCTTGAGACTTTTTATAGAATAATATATTGGTGCAAAACGGTCTAAGGAAGAGAATGTATCGCTATACCATAAGCATATACCACTATACGTACTGAGTACAGAATTTTTGCATTTTTCTTAAACGCATAAAAACGTTTTGGACTTGTTAATTTAAAGTTGCCATTGCCCACCATAAAACCAAAGGTCAAGCTGGTTAAGAATCTTATCAATCCATTTTATCTATTAACACGAAAACATACATTCTTTTCAAAGTGTTGACGTAGGCCTGAAAATACTGGCATATTAGAGCATCTGACAATCTCTGCCCACGATTTATCCAGTAGCCAACCAGGCGCAGGGTTATGATACTTGTTGTCCAAGGCCACACCACCGGTTAACAAAAATCTCCATTCTTCGTCATCTAACTTTCCTCTATAGAACAAATTAAAGTTCTCTAAAAATCTCTAACAAAACCTGGAATGTTCCTCAAAAATACTTCTGGCCAGTGAAAACGTAAAATCTAGGACAATATTTTTTGAATTCCAATTACAATTGCAATCTCGTACCCAGAGTATGCCCGTTCGCAGCTTGGGTACAACCTGCGAACGGGCATGAGATTGATTGGGGCGTAGCTTACATAGTATTGTCTACTCGATTCAGTACATTATATTTGATGTAATAATTTTATAATTACGATTATACAAATCGAAAATCCGAATTAAGATTGGGCAACTTAAACTTCGGTTTAATTATATGAAGCAAATATATATTTATGTGAGGCAGTTACAGTGTTAAAACGAACATTAACCATTGCAAAAAATATATCAAAATCTCTATAACAAATTACACTACGGTTTTAAAATCGACCAATCTCGTTTAATTAAAGAGCCATTTTTTAAAATCTGTAGTATGCATATATTTACTTACTTTCCTCTCAAAAGCCCAATACAAAGAAGAAAGGAAAACAGCAGCTTATCTTTTTCAAATAACGATCGACTGATATTTAGGTATACACTGAAACGACAATAATAAATTCACTACAAAACAATGTCCTGATTGGTTGAGAAGAGTTCAATAATTTAATTAATTCAACTGCACTACAATAAATGGTCAGTGTGCCCAAATGGCCAAAAGGTGAGAAAGTTCCCTTTAACAAGTTCAACATTGGACAATATCTTCAAAAAACTCGCTATAAATATCAGGAACTGAATGCAGCGAGTGTCCCAAATAATTTCCTACGTCTGGTAATTTTAAGGCGAACAAAAAATCTGAACACATTGTATTAACCAATGCTGCATGTTTTTCTGATAATATTGAAAACAAAACTGACACGTGCAAACGGATTGTACCCCATGTTGGTTAATAAAAGCGTATAACCGAAGGTGTCCGTCCTTTTAAAATGAAAAAAAATCATTGCTTAAATTGTCTGTAATTTAAAAATTAATTACACCAACTAAATCGACGAAGGTATGTAAGGGAATCCCGAAGGAACAACTTGTATTGTGGGTATACGATGGAAAATCAAGAGAAAAGGAAAGCGAGACCACTGATGATGAATTTTATGATGTTGAACACATATTTAGTCGGATCATAACCTTTTCTATTGGGAATCTCCCATGCATAAAATTTTTGAATTGAGGGACATCAAACCATATAAACATATACTTAGTAAAAAGCTCAAGTTTAGGTCACTGGAACGTTAACAAATGATCGTAAAACATTACGAATGGTTGATTATACAAGCACCACCTTTTAACTCATATTGATCGTCATGCCAATTATACCTGTAGGTAAAATGATCGTTCAGATTGTAGATTCTGGTTGCCAAGTCTCCTGATCTCTCACTGCTTGCTATGGACTATAACAAAAGAAATCTTAACTGTAAAGAAGAGTAAGTGCTGTACTCGCGTTTGGAGACAACTTATGTACAGTTAGATTCTAACAACATGCATGAAAAACAGAATTGCGCAGGTAAAATTTGTACCGATTATTAGAACACATTTATACGTTTAACAAACTCCTGCATGCCACCCATTGTGCAGTTTAATTTTGAACGCAAAAATCTCACATATAATGTACACGAAATTTAGTGATGTAAATTACTCCCTGCAATACTTTGCAGTGAATAACAAGTGAATTTATATCATTCTTGCTAGCAAAACTAGTTCAAGTATTTTTTTAAAAGCGGTTCCATATAGCATGCACGCAAAGCAATGCAATTAAACCTTCAACCTAATAAATGTGTTGATACAACACCAAAATGGTGTAATCTGTAGACAATGCAGTTCTGTACACAACGACTTAGTGTAAATGTCAATAACAACTTTTGTGTTATGGGGGGGGGGGGGCTGTTATGGAATCACCAAATTTACAAATTACACCCAAAAGGTGTATTGAAACACCTATAATAATTATTGGGTGTAAATATACAAAAAAGGTGTAAACATTTTACATTTACAGTGCCTACATGCAGAGCTGCTTACACCATTTTTGTGTTTTAGCAACACCCAGAAATTTAGATTGTTCATAGACTATGGAAAATGAACGAAGGGAAGAAACAAGTTTTATATAGTATTACCCAACATAGTAAAATTTCTGTCAAAATAATTAATAGATGCTTCAAATAGTATAGATTACCTGCAAGTACAATTTAATAAACCATGCCAATGAATACTGATACATCGGTTCGATATTGGCCAGTGATGAAACAGTGAAGAACAAAATCGACGAGTGTTTCGCCACCTGTTAGGGAAATGCACAATGAACATGATTTACCACAGATATGATTTTTACATCTTCGAATTATGGAAAACAGTGGTGCAATCATATGGTCAGTTCAGTACGTGGTAATCATTGTCTGGTTGGCAATGTTAGGCAAAATATAGTAGTAAGAATATTCAAGAGCACAAGTACAAAAAAACAAGTTATACAGTATACTGAATGTAATAATCATGTTGTGGAAAGAAAAAAAACAGAAGTAAAAAATAAATTATCACACAAAAAAGAAACCAAAAATATGTTGTTTAATTAGGAAGAAGAGAAGAAGGTTAGTTTCAATTCTCAAGTTTAGATGAGAGTGTGGTAAGAGTAATCTTCTGATATTGTATTTAAGAAATATATCAAAGAATACATGTACGCCTTGCTTTCTTGCCTTTTGCATGGTACTATGCAAGTAAAACTACACTCGTGTTTCCAAAGTTGTTTCCGTGCATATATGGTTATGTCATTGTATGGTATTGTCGCCAGTAAGTATCAGTGCCACCATTCACTATTAATAGTATATCCAGGTTCTTTTTTTTATTATACAATGGGAGATATTTTTATCAGAATCTTAGTGTTTTCAAAATTAAGTTGTCTTGTATATAGATATATTATCTTTTCATCTATTCAAACTTTCGAGTGAATATTTTTTCTGCATTCCTCCTTGTATTCCATTCATGCTATTTCTATTTCTTTATTCATCTTACATTTTTCGTTTGCCCGCCTAATTATTTTTTCACGTTTATTACAAGATTACCGGTTGATATCCGTTTCGTGTTTGATCAATCTCTTTTTCTGTCTTAGTAGCGATTTCTTGCTTCTCCAAGATTTCTTTTGACAATAATTTACTGGATGAAAGAACCTACATAATAATATATAAAAGGTTGCAGTTTACAAGTTTACATGATGAAAAAACCGAGTAAATGAGACTAAAATATAAATGTTGATATAATCCTGAAATATATGCAACAAATTTTTGGCACACATAGGTAATTAAATTAATTTCTTCCAAACCTCAATTGCAGTCTCATCTTCCAAAATATTTCCTTCACATGTGGACAGTACTTCAAGAATTTTATCCTCAATTTCCTTTAACTACAACAAAATTAAGACAAGGTCTTGATACAATTTTAGTTTTCCAACATAAATGCTGTATGGCATTATGCACTATACATTGTTTGATAATATATGTATACAGTATTGACAATTAAAAGTAAAAAGAAAAATAATGTAGTGAAAGAAACTAATCGAACAGTGAACTGGTCACTTTTGCTCCAGAAAGCCCACATTATCATTACTTTAAGGAAGTTATTTAATTAATATTTATTAATTAATGTTACTTATTTAAAAAATGTAAAAATATGATTGAAGGTGATTCATCACGGTAATTTTTCTGGAAATTAGAATTTGCTGAAACTTCCCAGGGGTGAAGTTTATGATATGTTAATAGTAAAAACAGGAGAAAAGTTAGGGTCACCGAACTCGTTTCGAAGATATGACAAGGCAATATACCACCTTTTCTCCCATGTGATGCCATCTTGACCCTTTTACGAGTTACATGAAGAATCGCAATTGCTCAACCGTTAATGAATTTTTTTAACAAGGATCTTACTAAAAATGTCTATATCGAGTGATTATATACAAGTAACCATGGTATTTTAGCGAATCAAAACCCATTGATGTGCATTGTCGTGATGCAAAAATATAAAAATATAGGTCATGGACCTTCTTAAAGAGATACAAGGGTTAAACATGCAACATGATGTGGTTAAGTGTTAGTTGCACAGGACGCTCTAGCCAGAGCTCTGTCATTTTTGAAGGCATATTTCCTGAAGCATGCCTAATCAATGCAGAGTGTTTTTCTCTTTGCCCTTACTCTTTCTTTATCATTTTACATTGCAGTTCGACTACATATATTAGCTAGAATTTGTTATTAGATATGCGCACTAAAAGTGCGCAATCCAAAACTGATGAATCACCTGTTTCTTATTTCTGGCACTCTCGACAATTAACATATTTTTCTTTTCTTCGAGTTCTGGCTTTTCTTTAGCCACAACAAGACCCAGCAACTGATCTTCCAGCCCGAGTGGAGTGATCATAAAGTTCAAAAGGGTCACCTATATATTTTGATAAAATCGATTAATATCATATATAAATGACCGATTGTACGAAACTTGGATACGTTATCAAATAGAAAGATATGATCAATAGTACTCAGAAAGTCCTTTAATATTACAAAACGGGTGAACTTTAATCTTTTTTACTTTTTATTGTCAAGTGATGGCTGTCTACTATGGAACCAATAACAGCCCATCTAAGGAATTATTGTTGACCTATATAGATGTGCTCAACCATGTAGTTTTATATCACTTGCATTCTTGTAGTACTTTCAACTTCATGCATTAAATTATAATTATATGCACAAATCCTAATACACGTTGCAGGGTCATCAAATAATCTGTTTATATTAAAAAAATTAAGTGTTAAACATACCTTCACAGAGACTTCTGGCAAATAATGCGGATTTCGTAGTCTGGTGGCTATGTAGAATCTGAAATCCTATAAACGCGAAACACAGCTGATCAATTTTGATTTTTTTGTTTTGTTTTTGTTTTCTTGCATGTGTCTTGATCAAAGCAAGTTAATTATTAATAAAGAGATATTACGCATTCAATCATTTCATGTTGGTGTTCGTAGTAAACGCATTTGCTGAATCAATTAATTAATTTAATTAATAAATTAATTATTTGTATAGGTAATCATGCGATGGCGAGTACAATTAGGGATTAATAGTACGAGTGATGTTTGGAAATTTTGCCAAAATTGGACGAGCCGCCGGAGCGAGTCCAATTTGGCAAATTTCCAAACATCACGAGTACTATTAATCCATAATTGTACGAGCAACATCGCATGATTACTTGTTTATTATTAGCATGACAAAATTGGATACTTCTCAATGTTAAGATCATATATTCTCTCGCCAAAGCCCAGTCCTGCCAGATTTTCAACCAAAATTTGGTGCCTTTGTCCGTATTTTCATCCTCTAGGGCAATTTCATTTCACGCTTGTGTTTAAAATACCTTTCCGCCATTTTGTTTGTTGTGGAAAAATCATTAATTGTACTGCAGTACAATTAATGAAATAATTGTACTCCTCTCAACCAATCAGCATCCAGAAATTTTGTCATGCTAATAATAAATTAACTTAATATTTAAAACATTAAACATCGGTAACTCTGTACTGAACATTTGACAAAATAGGATGCCGTTGACTTACTATCATCAAATATGAATCCTCGAAATATTTTGTCATACCTTACTGAACTCTATGATATTTTCGCCCATTTTCAAGTACTCCACACCTCCCTAAATATCCAACAAAATAACGTTTAGCTATTGTAGTAACATTATTTATATGGTGGGTGTTGACTATACACAAATATTGTAGAATTATGAACTAAAATTTAAACTGCATACTTAAGCTTGCATGCATGCATGACAATAATTATATTAGGCAAAATGATAATAATGTACTAGGCTGAACGCAAAGATGCGTAAAATATTGACAGGGTGCATATATTAAATATTGAGAAATTAAAATATCTTTGTAAAAGCTTCTTAAAAAGTTTCTTTGTGCATAAAATTTACTTTTGTCAAGCTTCTATGCACTTGTAGGTTCAGCAGAGTGCTGAGGCATTCAAATTCTAACAAAATGTTATTTCAATAGTTTTGTTTCTTTGGGGGGACACTCTGTATATGAACTAGAAATCCGGTCAGGTCCTTATTTTTGGAATTCAAATAAGCGAATTAACTGCGAATTAATTGCACAGACTGACGCGCATATACTAACTTGTTTAAATGTTTGTTTCAGAAGCAGCGGTTCTAAGACTGGATCCAATTCTTCGCCAACATTCTCCAGAAGAACAGGTGTGCCGAACTAAATAAAGATGTTTGAATCTTCTTCTAAATATCGTATGATGAAAAATGCTGTGAATTATACAGTATAAGAACACGGTTAAAGTTTTCTGAATACCTTTGCAAATGAAAGGTTTGAATCAGACACACCATATACCTGTATGCAATTCTCTAAGGTCCTGACGTAATTTGGATCCGACAACTTGATAGTCTAAAATACAGAATAATAATTGCTTATTAATAAATAATTGTGTATTGAAAGACTATACACATGTAGATACGTGTGTATTTAGTGTATATAGCTTGGCCGCAACTTAATCCGGGAAGCCAATAACTTTTCTTACAAGCATAAAGTGACTAAACTGTTACTGCATGCATGTTATAGTTATAAGAAAACAGTCCAGTATAAACACACTGACCTGCAATTTATTGGGTTTCTCCATATTTTTTATCCAGTTGTTTGCCTGTCCCTGGGGATCAATCATTAACGTCCATCTTTGGGAATTTGTTACGATTATACCATTGTCAACAGAAAAACTAGAAACAATAAGATTAATTATTAATGAAAAAATTCGAAATATATCCAAAGGTTTCGGAGACCGCGCGCGTCGCCCAATAAAATGTATTTTGTACATGCATGCATGTATAATAATTTTCACAATTTTTAAAAAGTATAAGTATCAGTTTCATATTAAATGCAGTCTTATATACCACGTTGACGTGCTCATTCCAATGGTTGAGTTCGTTTTTTACGATACTTTTTACAGTAATTGTTGGTCCCAGTCTCTATATCAACTTCGATGGCTGATTCAGTTAGTTCTGTCACTGTTCTAATATAACGGAGATTCCATATTACATATACTGTATTAGGTTTTTTAACCCGACTAATAATTGCTACCAATTGCATGTCAGACAGGAAAGATATAACGAATGACAAATTGTCGAATACGGTAACTCGAGTTTTCCCACAAGGATAAATTCAAATGACTCTGGCAAAACGACAAGATTAACGAGTTTCTAGTATAATGCAACATAAAACTACCCAGTGGTATACCTGTCAACCGGCAGGCCAGCAATTTGCCAAGTTCTTGTTGTCACTGGATCACCTAGTGTTCCAAGCAGAGAAAACTGTTCGGAAACTGGAATCTGTTTTTCTTTACACAATTTCCACCACTTCTGCACGCTTTCCTGTGATATGAAAAATTGAACAATGTATAAATGAAACATTTAGCTTTTCTCTGGTTGTTTTATTTCACTTAATGTCTGGTTAATGAGATTTTCCAAGCTTGACGTACGATAACGACATTTTATATTAGTATGAAATAAACCAGCGAAGTTTTGCCTGTGGCATCATTAGTCGCTGGGCAGAGCCTGCAGCGACTCTAGGTTTCGGCACGCATTTGTGTCGGATCTTGGATCGTTAGCCACAAAATGACAATTACGTCATTAATAAAAAATAAAAATTACGTCATTACTATTCGTCGCTGAATTCAAGATGGCCGCTTACTACGAGCGAATGGTATCATCGATTTTGTACATATTCTTTTTATTTTTCCGATGAACCTTAAAAGGTTTCCGATGAAACAGACTTTATAAAGCGAAAGTCATTTTATGTGAGTAAACTTGGAAGGCTACAAGCTTGAAATAGAGGACAAAAGTTCACAATTTTCAATTTTACAAAGTTGGAACTTGGAACGGGCCGCAACCTTTGTAAATCGCAACAATAATATTCGCAAACTGCTGTTTATTTGGGTGCTTTTTTTACGGCTGTTGATGCAAATAATCCTGTTACGGATAGGTGGTCAAAAGAACATGGTTCAAGAAGACCGAAATACAAGACCGAAATACAACCACAGTGATCATCATTCATCACTACTTGTGTGAAATTTAAACTTTGCCGCTAGGTTTCAGGCTTTTAAATCTGTAATATTCCAGTCATTTTATGATCAATGTATTGTGTTTCTAACGCCGAACGGGAAAATGTTGGAGCCACGATAATAGACTCTTTCAAGGTCAAGATGCCATAATGAAACACAAAGTGTAAGGGCTGCAAACACAATGGAAATTCCTGCTAGTATTAAAATTTGCAAGGTTGTGTTAACACAATGGGGTGGGGCTATTGCCGATATTTTTTAGCCCTGGGGTGAGGATTTTGACATTTTCTATCATGGGGGATTTGGTAGATTTGCTGGGAAACTGATATTTAATTTGATTGCAAATGGCTTGTGGACATAGCCATTTTCTTCCCAGAAATGGCTAATACCTCGGGGGGGGGGGGGCACTGCTGGAATTGACTGATACATAATTAACAATCGCCATTTTGATTGGTTGTTATTTTTGTGCATCCCAATCACTGTCCACTTTTTATTGACTTCAGTAACAGGCTTACCCTGCGAGCAAAGTCCTCTTGTATTTCTTCTCAGCACGAGAGAGACTCTGCAGAACTTGTATATATTCTTTGTGGAGCCGACAATCCAAAAACTTATAATTATGAGTAATTTCAGGTTTGATACCAGTTTTATAACCGGTTTTGATCCGAACCGGAAACTACTTATTAAATCTTCTTCTGGGAAATAGGCAGTTGCTTAGCAACCTTCACGCATGCTCAAATGAATTTATACACAGTTCTGCAGAGTCTCTCTCGCTTCTCCGTGCCGTGCCGAGAAGAAATCCGAGAGGACTTTGCTCACAGGATATAACAGGCTCTATTTCAAGCATCGAGCCTGACACGCAAGCTACCTTGAAAGGGCCTATTTGGCAACTTCTGTTGTGGTTACCCAGCCTGAGGCAAAAGTAATAAATTATGAATTGTTATAAATGTTCTGTGAAGTGCACATATTTTTCCTGCAGTTAGGGACCAGTCCTTATTTATGGAAGAGGGAGGGGGAGGCAAAAGGTGGGGCCATGACCCCATGAGTATAAATAATTTACTAGAAGGGGGGGGTGGTATTAAATTTTTTGAGAAAATCAGTTGAAGGGTCAAAATGTGGAGTTGCAATAAATTTGTTTAAGCCTGGTTTCCAGTGTCCTCGAAGTTGGCCTAAGCCAGATAAATCCAATAAATGATATCAACCTCGTACCCAGCGCTTCTGCGCTTATACACTGCTCTCAGAAGAGAGAGCAATAAGCGCAGAAGGCCTGCGCAGAAGACCTTATTTTAATAGCCCCAGCGACTAAACGCTCAACAGAGCGTCTTGTTTAATATGGAATTTCTTTCGGCAGTTCTCTCATATCCAAACACCGATACAATGTTGTATTATTTCGTGAGTTAATAAATTTTTGTTTATTTTTTAGCATTTGATCTAAAATCTCTCGAAGCCATTAAACGCAAAACACCCTACACGTCCACCGAGGAATATTTGGATATTAATTACCGATTACTTCGCGAAGAGTGCTTCAGAAATTTATGTGATGGCATTCAGAATTTTCGCGAGAATCAGATATGCGATGCTCAAAAAATGAAAATGTACAGGTAATTAATGCTATTCAATCGGTAAGTTATATTTAACAAATATAAAATATTTTACGTTTTGATATACAGTTATATAAAACGAGTGGGAATTGGGAAAACGAGAAATTGTGTGGAAACACGACGCCCGAGCGCAAATATAGCACAAAGAAATATAAAGAAAGAAATTTTTTGACATTGAGTTATATCAAGTAACATAGCCAGCGTAGCGGCTATCAGGGAAAGGACAGCCTGCACGAGATCTACTGTTTTGCCATTTCCGCCCACTTAGCCTGAGGGCTACGCCACTTTCAACAGATGTCAAAATTGCCCAATCACACAGATTGCTTACGTTTGCAAATTTACATGTCAAATTGAGTAATATAGATTGCTTTATGTTTTCAAATTTCAAAATAAAATAATATACGGATGTCGGCTAAAGAAAATTGAATTCTCTAATCGCACAAAATTATTAGCTACAAAATCATGAAGAAAAAATCTATTTGTCGACGATGAAAACGAACACGCTCGTGAAAGAGACGCTGCTAACAGACAGCAATCCATCGAAAACACCACAGTCAATATCGTTAGACAGGGTTCATACGCCCCTGGAAATCCTGGAAAACCCTGGATTTTTATTTTAGTCCTGAAAAACCCTTAAAAACCCTGGAATTTCAAATTTATCCCTGGAAAACCCTGGAAAACTGAGAAACTGAGCTGGGTGTAGGAGTATACCTAAACTATTTAGCACTATCTTAAAACGAAAGATTGAACAAAAGGTTTTTGCATTATATATAGTCAAACTATGAATGTATATTTCGTTCAAACTGGTACAAACCCAAAATTATCTGTGCAAGATGAAGTACTAGTCGTCGCGAACGTTTCTTATCCGTTAAACACTTATTGATTTAAATTTCAAATGCCCCTGGAAAATCCCTGGAAAAAGGATGGAAAAAGTCCTGGAAAACCCTGGATTTTTTAAATTTTGAAGGGGTACGAACCCTGTTAGAGTTTTATGAATAGAGTTTCATGTTTAGTATATACTCGTTTTTCTCCCTTTGGGAGAACGAGCATATACGGCAAAGCATGCATGGGGTTTCGTGCAAGCTGTCCTTTCCCTTATAGCCGCTACGCAGGCTATATCAACACGCCTCTTAGCCAATCAGCGTTCAGAATTTACAAATGCTATATTATAATTATTTATGTAAGTAATATAGTGGACTGATGACAAATTGTAAGTCAAGTTTAATTAAATGAAAAGATTGCGAAGTTCATGTTTTCGATGGTTTTTACAAGTAAAATAATTTCAGAAACAAATTTATTATTTATTTGTTATGAGGAACAACTATATTAAGTGAATAGCAGATTAATTTATGTTACAAAATCTATTTACTGAATCAAGTTCCCAATAGCAAACAAATTTTAAGGCTATTGGAACAGTTCAATTGACTTATCACCAGTGAACTCTATTTAGATTGGAACGATAACTTGGCCGTCATCTTTGAAAGCCGAATTGACGTACAGTGCCAGTCCCTTTCTATTGTTTTTGTAGGCGCGGTTGACAACCGCACCTACAAAAACAATAGGAACGGAATGGCACTGTACGTCTATTCGGCTTGAAATTGGCTTCAAAGATGGCGGCCAAATTACAGTCAGTTATCGTTCCAGTCTAAATAGAGTTCACTGCTTATCACCAACGAAGTGACGAATGTATTATGGGACACTTGCTTATATTAGTTTTAAACTTCATTTGAGAGTCAAACCTGAATCCCAAGTTCTTTGACTTGTCTGTTAAATTTATGGAGATATCGCTATAAATTTGCAAGGAACTAAAGTTGATTTTAGTATTTTACCATCTGTTTTACCATCATTAACTTTCTACTTTTCATTAACTATCACGTAGCCGATCCAATCCTTTGTGCCATCAATACAATTTTCAATAGCAGCGACTGCAGCAAGTTGACAATTAGCGATGAACAATGACCACAAACTGTCTGAAAGTTAACCATGATCCCAGTCTCTTCTTTACAGTAATAAACATTAAATAAAATCAGAAATGTAATTACTTTAGTCAATTTAATCTTGATAAAAATGGTTGCAACCAAGATGTTATCTGAATTTGCCAGAAAAATTCGTTGAACTTTCCCAAGCCAATAATAGTAACACAAATATGTATGTTGACAATATTTATCATACCCGATATAATCCGCTATAAGCTAATGATTAATTGTAATTTATTCGTTTTCAAGGATTACATTGCAGAGAATTACTGGCGGTAACACACAAATCTTTCTTTTGTTGAACTGTATGGACTACTATGAAAAGGAGAACAGGTATTCATTCATATGTTCTCGTGTGTTCATATTTTTACGTATTTAAAGCTATTTTTGGATTTAAGTCAGTTAAGCAAAGTAGGCAAAATTGATGTACTTTATAATTTTCACATTAGGAAGAGATTTTTTTTCATTTTAACACGTGCTTAAAACTAATGAGTATTATGCCATTTGATATCGACTTTCAGCATTTTTAGTTTTAAATTTGACAAGTTTCTCAATCAGCAATCAATCTTTAAAAGGATGTTTTATGCTATCTCTATAAAATAATGCTAAAATGAAGAGACCGTGGTAGTATAGTAGGTAGTTTTCGAATCCTTTTTGCGCTGGACGAGAAGGGAGCAGTTGATTATTTTCATAATGGTGAGGAGTGGAATATGAGGTGGTAAGTTGGACGACTTATTATGTAGGCATGATGTCACCGATTATGTATGCATTGACGTCAT